AAAAAAAAAATTATACATGTATATAAATATTTAATAAAATAATATTTTAAATCAAAATGTAATATATTTAAGAACAAATGAATTATAAGAAATTTAATTTCTGGATAACTAATTTTAATATTAATTAAAAAGAATACACATCTTACACATGTGTAGCATTGATTGAAATTTTGTACTTACTGGAAACAGGGTATTGGAAGTCATTTCACCAGTTTACGCTTGGTCGTAGAGAATCGATTGGAACAGAGGCCAAAGTTAATAAATAAATTCGACGCTCAGCTTCAAAAGGACATCACAGTGTTGAACGAAGAAATATCAGAAATTTACGACGAAATAACGGTAAGGAAGCATATTTCAAATCATCTTTATGCCATCGCCATTCCATTGTATCTTGCTGTGAACAGCAACCATGGTTATTGGATTACGGAAGCGACATTGACGCCTGTTTGAATACGTTGAAAGAGCTGAATAAACGATTAGCAGCGTGTGCTACTAAAGCGGAACAATATCGTGCCCATCAAAGGACATTTAAGGTACCGCCTTACGTTGAAAGATGAAATGATTTTTTTTTTTTAAATTACAAACAGTCGTCTAACCAGGAATATTTCACTTTCCTCGTTCCGAGAAGCTCGAACAGACGAGATTCGACATCTTAGATCAAGTAATGAACGAACTGAAGTTACGTATTTTATTATGGGAAAGCTTGACTTCCTGGGAGAACGCTGTCTACGAGTGGTACGCCAGCGATTTCGACGCCTTGAACGTGGAAGAAATCACCGCGTTTACAATGCGCACCATGAAGAACATAATTCAGTTGGAAAGAGGCCTGCCACCGAATAATATCTTGCCGGACTTGAAGGAGAGCGTTGAATTGATAAGGAACAAGTTGCCTGTTCTCGGTTACTTGAGGAATCCAGACTTAAAGGACAGACACTGGAAGACGATCGAGACTATATTGAACCATACTTTCGTGCCCGACGAAAAGAAGACTTGGAACCAGATGGAGGAGCTCGGTGCGTTTTTAAAACCGAACGAACTGATGGAAGTGGCCGCCGCGGCGAGCTCCGAAGCCAGCTTGGAAAACATGTTGAAGAAAGTGATAGACACGTGGGAAAATCTGAAATTTATCGTCGTACCGTACAAAGAAGGGAAAGACGTTTTCATTATAGGCACTCTCGAAGAAATTCAGATCGCAATGGACGAAAGCAACATCAATTTACAAACTATCAACGCGTCTCGCCACGTTGCGCCAATTCGATCGCTGGTCGAAGAGTGGGTGCAAAAGTTGGATTTATTCACCGTCACTTTGGTACGAATGTTTCTCTTAAAAAATTGTATCTTCTAGGGAATTTTTCAACGTTCCGAACTGCGATTCCCGTGTTATGTTTGAGTTATGTTGCAGGAAGAGTGGCAATATTTGCAACAGCAGTGGTTGTATCTCGAGGCGATATTTTCAGCGCCGGATATTCAGCGACAATTGCCCATGGAAGCAAAACTTTTCATCGAGGTCGACAAGTTTTGGAAAGACCTTATGAGACGCACTTACAAGGTTTGCAATCAATATTTGCAAAACTATTCGACCGATAACACTCGACTATTCGAACAATTTCTCTAGGCGCCTTTGGCCATGCATGCGTGCACACAACCAGGCTTGTTAGAGCAACTTCAAGAAAACAATCGAATGTTGGACGAAGTGATGAAATGTTTGGAGGCGTATCTCGAGACGAAGCGAATAGCGTTCCCCAGATTCTTCTTCCTATCCAACGATGAGCTTTTAGAAATTTTGGCTCAGGTATCGATCAGGGCAAGAAAAATTTACAGTAGGAAGTTTACTAACCGAAATTAGGTTTTAAGCGTGGAAAACGCTTACTAAGGCAAAACCGACTCTCGTGCGATAGACGAAAAACCCGCACGCGGTACAGAGGCATTTGCAGAAGTGCTTCGACGCCATATACAGATTAGAATTTGCAATGAAAGAAACCGAAACCGGCGAACTGGTGCTAACAACAGATATAGTTGCTATGATTTCACCGGAAGGTGAGAGAGTCCCGCTTGGAAAGGGTTTGAGAGCTAGGGGTAATGTCGAAGACTGGTTAGGTCGAGTCGAAGAAACTATGTTTTCAACATTAAGGAGAAGCATGAAAGATGGAATTAAGGACTTGGCTGAGAAAGGACGAGGCCAATTTCTGTACATGCATCCCTCTCAGGTTTATATGCTCTACTTTCACTAGTATCCCTTGCAACGGAACTTCAAAGTATCTTTTACAATAAAATCCTCTTACAAAATAAAATCAAAATAAAATATGACCAATATAATCACCACATTTACTTTTCCTTGCTTTCCTCAGATAGTCCTCGCCGTGTGCCAAATATTTTGGACTCGAGATATCCACGTTATCCTAGATTCCCCTGAGAACGTGATCGAAAAGATGAAAGCATTTGAAGAAAAGTGTTTCGCGGTTCAGTATATCCACGTTTTTCCTACACAATCTGCACTAAACATTTTTGTGAAATCATTTTCACCGTACAGGACTTGAATGAATTAGCGATGATGGTGAGAGAAGAATTGCCACAATTGATACGTGATGTCATAATCAATTTGATAACAATAGATGTGCATGCCAGGGACATTGTTACAACTTTGGTTGAAAATAAAGTGACTTCGAGGTAACGGTTCAAACGTTTGCAACAATCGTTTCAATTAAAAAAAAAGACCACATATATCGAATGAACACTCTTTCAAAAATTACTAAAATCACTTACGTTGTAGTGTAAGCTTCGATTGGGTAAAAACATTACGTTATTATTGGGATGAAGAACTCGACAATTGTCTAACACGTATGAGTAATTCTAAATATCTTTACGGGTACGAATATCTCGGTGCTCAGAGGAGGCTCGTCATAACTCCTCTGACGGACAA